TTTAAAATTCTAATTGAGTATTACTACAGTTGTTTTTTAGATAAAAATAGTTATTACTACAGCTATTTAGTAGAATGGAAAAATGAAAGAGATAATGCTATAACTCTTTTTGAGGATTTGTTTAAGGAATATCAAGGGTTATACGGTACTGTACAAGAAGAAACAGCACCACCTCCGCCCCCGAAATCAAAAAAAGGTTTTGCCGGCATAGTCGGTGGCCTTCTTGCAAAGAAAGGGAAACGTGCCCAGTCTTCGACGAGTTCAAGTGCTACAACAGTAAGCTCGCACAACGAACTTGCTATGTACCAGGGTGTGCCATGCGATTACGATGACGATGATGTCGATTTTGACATGCTCGGATGGTGGAAGCGGAACGAACACATGTTCACATGTCTCGGCATGCTAGCAAGACAAGTGTTGTCCGTCCCAGTATCAACCGTAGCAGTTGAACGAGAATTCAGTGCTTGCGGCAACATTCTAACCGACTACGGAAGTTGTCTTAACTCTGAATCTCTTGAAACACTGGTTTGCAACCAAGATTGGCTCTTGGCAAGACGTCGGGCTCAAGAGTCATCGTACCAACTCGAATCGGAGCATTACATGAATGCAACCACAGATGGAAGTCCGAGTTCTGAAGAATAAGTTATAAATTTTTTTTATGTTAATGTAAATATGTAATTAATTTTTTTAGGTGAGCGATATATAAGCTTCTTCGAGGGTTTCTTTATGGTTCTTTACCTCGTCGCTTTTTTTGAACCGTCAGGATATTAAATGTGGTTGTTCTTCAATTAGTGTATTACTCATTTTCAATATTTAAATAACAACTACACTTTTAGATTTTTTATTTCATTCTTTCCTTAAACAATTGCAAATTTACAATTTTATACTTTAAAAATTTAAAAAAAAAGCAAAAAAGGGGGGGGGGGGGCGAACCCGGCCGGTCCGGTACCGGAACCGCCGGTCCGGGAACCGGAACCGGTACCGGCCGGCACGGTAACAATTCCGGTTACATGGGGTGGCGGTACCAGAACCGGAACCGTCCCGGAACCGTACCGTGTCCACCCCTATTTCGGGGCGTTACAATGCTGCAGAAAGTCGACCTCCGGGCTATGATCGCCAGCATGAATGAGTATATGATCGCATTCATTCTGATCTGCGTCTTGGTCAAGTCCTCTAAAGATGGCCTAAACCCCATCATATCTGGACACAATTGGGCCCAATACTCTTTCGTGTTACCATGCGAACCAACAATTGGGGTGCCATCTACGGGGAGACAATGTGGGACCTCCACATCCTGTAATGTGATCCGAACCTCTCCAAACGGAAGATGAAAGGCGAGCGTCTCTGGCCTCCACCTCTCCACTAAGGCGGTAATCAAAGACCAATCTATTTGTAACTTAGCAATTTTTTCTACCCCGTAAAATCCATATTCATGTAATATCTCCACAACTCGTGGATGATGCTCCACACCAAACCCTTCCCTCAAGCTACCAAAATATTTAACACATTTCACCGGTACATCCCAAAGCCTACGGTCTTGCCGCACCCTATCACCACGATGTTCTCCGGGTGACAAAACTAGTATATCGGGGACAATTGGTCCTGGATGGGCCTCCGTTCTTTGAAATTCATTATTCTATGAAATTAAAACTTATAGTCTCTGAATACGACAAACCAAAAGTATGTAATGCACTAAAAAAATCCACAAATATATCACAAAAAAATTTCGGATATCTCATAAACATTTCAATTTTCAAAATTCTCAACATAAATCTAATCTAAATTTTCAATTTTCTAAATTATCAACATTTCGATTTTCTATATTCTCATCATAGATCTAATCACAAACATATCTCATAAACATATCTCAAACATATCTCATACGAAATATAAGTTAAATTAGAAATTTTCGGAATAAAATTAAGTAAAACGGTACATACGGTCCCGTTATCCTGAGAGATGGCAAGGGACGGTGGCGACGACATTGTAGCGCCGTAGGGGTACACACGGTACGGTTCCGGGAACGCTTTAGCAAACTCTAGTTTGTCTAAAAGCTCATCAACAAAGAATGAAGAAATAAAAAGTTTCCTTTGATTCAAAGCCATGAAGTTCTGCCTCACCGCATCATCTAGAAATTTGAGTAGGTTATTGAAATAACCGTCAATGTTCAAGAGACCAATGGGTCTATTGTGTAACCCTTCAGAAGCCCACGAGATCAAGGTGAACAAACCTTCCATAGTGTCAACTCCTCCAGGAAGAATGATGAAAGCTTCCACGGCATGATTCATCTCAAAATATTTGTAGTAATTGCTGGAAACTGTGTGCTCTACGCCGTATGTAGGTCCGTAGACCCGTCGTGTTGCTATGTACCCAGGAATGAAACCTCTAACGAGACCTCCATTGGTAAAGACTGTTGAAGCAACAGCTCCTTGTAGGCCAACGTTGCCTCCTCCATAAGCAAGACTAATTCTTCGCCTTATCAATTCTCTTCCTAAATCTACTGCAGTAGCCATAAACTTTGGATTTCTACCAAGAAAATGACTGCCAAGAAGACCAACGAATCTTATGGTGTAAGGAAGTGTTCGAGAAGTTCCTTCCATAATGTGAGAATGTGAGATACTCTTCCCATAATCGTGATATATATAGTCTCTAGAACCTGACCATTGATGGAAAAGTAATTATCACCAGCCAAAATACGTACAGTAAAATGGATTCAAATTACCTACAGACGAGAACGTAGTCGCTAATACTATAGTATGCTGAAGATATGACGTATTGAGACTCTTGAATAGTTTGATTCGCTGTGCTGAAACACGTTCAAATCCGAGACGAAAAGTCAAAACGGCTATTTCCTAAGACAACAACCTCTTGAATAACTTCCAA